CTAATCCACTTTTTTCGGTGTCTGGAGTGCACTGAAACTACAGGGGGCCCAAAAAAGACTTTTTTCTTCCTTGACTTCCGAGGCGCTATAAGTTACACTTTATTAAATTCTTATCGGACATTTCTACCACCGTTTTAAAGAGCATATTAAATACTACCATGATACTCCTCCACAACCTCTGGAGGAGCGCCATCGAGTGATTCTTCCACGCGACCGTGAGTGGGTGCCTGAGTTCAGCGAGATCGTTGATTTCTCCGCCACTGTAGACCACCCTTTTGAACTCCGCCCGAACCAGGTAATTGAGGGGGTTTAGGTCAGGCGACCTGCTTAAATATTCCACCTTCTTCAGATACTCAACGCCCTCCCATTCCAATTAGGTAAGAGTTTTCCCAACGCTCTTTGATTCCGTGTGGTGTCACCCAATCCTGTAGCAGTACACAGTTTCCAAGAAGGTACGGGCGACGACATGTGGGGAGGATATTCTTCTCGAGTTGCTTGTAACCGCCAGCGCTCACCTTCAGTCCAGGGTCCACGAAGAAAATATCAATCTCTCCATTCCAGGTACGTCCGGTCTCCACCATCAACTAGCGCCTTGGCGACTGAGGTGAAGATGATGTCCTCGACCGTAGCGATGTTGAGAGCTGCTCGATGAAGGAGGTCTTCTAGATCTAGAGTACTGTTCTCCAGGTAGCTATCCATGGGTGACTCCATACCAGAAGTTTCGCAGCTGTTTGGAGGTGACATGGGTTTTAAAGGTCTTCTCCAGTCAGGCTGCGACTGGAGATGACTTCATATTTTGGTGTACATGAATCCGATGGGTGAGAGCCAGCTCCTGCTTATCGAGGAACATCTTGGGTATCTTCCGCCCTGGTATTCGTATCCACATCCTCTGTCTGGGCTGCGACATTTTTGCTGATATGTGACTCGGTCGAAATGTCTTTTTTTGGCCCCCCTGTATTTTACAGAATTTTGTCTGGCTCCGCACACCTCGGAACAGCTCCGCTTTCAGTGTTTGTGACCCAAAATCCTCACTGGCGACCATCTGCTGACCTTAATCCACTTTTTTCCGGTGTGTGAAGTACTCTAAAACTATTTTACAGAATTTTTGTCTGGCTCCGCCCACCTCGGAACAGGCCCCGCCCACAATGTTTTTGTCCCACAATCCTCAATCGGCGAACCTCTGCTGACCTTAATCCACGTTTTTCCGGTCTCTGCAGTGCTCTGGGACCGTTTTGCAGGCTTTTTTTACGGCTCCGCCCACCTCGGGAAGGCGCCGCGTTTGTGCCCCACAATCGGTCCAGCCGTCGCTGACCTTGAACCTCTTTTTCCGGTTTCTGGAATGTTCTGGAACTGAGCTACAAACTTCTAAAATGAGTATCCTGCGATTAGGCAGCGTTCAGACTTGTAGCGCTACAGCGTAGAGCTACAGCGTCGCGCTACAGCGTCGCGCTACAGCGCCGCTTCGCAACGTACTGCTATTTCCAACGTTAGGATAACGACAGTTGCTTACAGAGAAAAGTGGGAAGGTTGCTGGATTTTCTTGAGAAATTCACGGAAAGGTGAGACTGATATAGCTGTAACTATCTGACGCTATCCTTGACAGTTACTCCATTAGTCACTATTTTCCTGGTACTGCTTTTAGCGTAACAGTGTCCTTCTGTCCTATTAAGAGCATTTTCTGCAAAAAACACCCAAAGAGTACTCGCGCCCCAAAAAACACGCACGCATGTTTTTTTTTACCGGAGACACCAGAACCATAAAGGAACTTCTTGTTTGCCTTTGTTAACGCATTGGTGACCAGATAGTCTTCGCGTGCCTGTTGTGAGAGATAAGTCCATTTTTTATGCTGCCGACAAACGCGACTCAATACTGATGCGTTCCTAGGCCAAAAAAGTACAAAAATTTGTCAAGGCTTTGTTGGCTGTGAATGCCTCGAAAACCGGCATAAGTCTTTTTCCTGTGATCCAGGCAGAGATTGGGGGCAAACTCTGAAAGCAGATTTCGCTCCATAATCGATAAGCAGTATAGGATTCTGTATTCATTCTTTCTATATTCAATCCTCTCCTCTTTGTTTCTCATATTTATCTAATAGTGAGCTCCTGTTTTCTACTTTATCACATTTTAATGTAGTTTCGCAATCGGGATCAGCACGAGGCAGCACTGCAAGACATCAGACAAAGCCATCAAACATCAAGCAACTGTGAAAGCCAAATGATTAAAGTCAAAAACGATAAATAAAACCAATTAGCACAGTCTTCTGTATCAAAAAACACTTTAAAATGTGATAAAGTAGAAAACAGGAGCTCACTATCAGATAAATAGAGAAACAAAGAGAAGAGGTTGATACAGAAAGAAAAAACAAAAGCTGGAGTTCGGTACAACTGTAGCGCTACGCTGTAGCGCGACGCTGTAGCGCTACGCTGTAGCGCGACGCTGTAGTGCAACGCTGTAGTGCAACGCTGTAGCGCTACAAGTCTGAACGCTGCCTTAAGGGCAACCTCTGCCCACTGTGGGCGGGTCTCAACACATTTTGAGCGTGCTCAACACTCGCCAGATATTTATATTCTGCATTGAGTTTTGCGACTTCTAAACACTCTTGCGAACCGGGTTTCTGATATTGTGGGAAGCGCCGCCTACCTTGAGTACGCCCCGCCCACTTTGGATGTGTCCCCCACAGTTAGTCTGACAACTCGTTACTAACCTCATTCCACTTTTCCCCCCCATATTTGAGCTGCTCTGGAAGCGACTTATGAACATTTCTGTGCGGAACCCCAAACTTTCGCTAGTGCCCCGCCCACTGTGGGCGGGGCTTCGCATAGGTCAAGAGTGCTTTTTATTTCTTGTCCCATGCTCTACCCATCCCCACCTTGACCCGACCTCTCCAAGTCGTTCTTCAGGTCAGACCGATTTCCCGGACAGACAAACTTACAAACAAACAAACTTACAAACTTACAAACAAAGCAAGCAAACAAACAGACGAAGCGAAATTATATATATACATATATATGTATATACGTATATATTATATATATATAATATATATATATATATATATATATATATATAATATATATATATATATATATAATATATTATATATATATATATATATATATATATATAATATATATATATATATATAATGGGTGATGATATAGTCCAAGGCAAATGAGGTAGCTGTAGGTGCGCAGCTACCGCTCTGTGATCCCTAGATCTAATTCCAAATTGAATTGCGTCCTGGTCTACTTAGCGTTCTATCGTCCATGGTCACTTAATTTCTGTCTGTCTTTTCTTGTAGAACAAAAGCGGCGACTATGCATCGCCTGGCTCTAGCAGGTTACTGGTGAGGCCATTTGCATTCGAGCAGCACTGTAGCTTTGAATGAACATGCATCCGTATTAGTTCTGGGTAACTCCACGGTGTTTTAACGCTGTCATTATCACTGCAAGCGAGACTGAACGCGCGCAAACGTGTGAGGGGCGTATATAGAAGTGCAGTCATTACAGCCTTTTCCGCCAGCGATGCCATCATGGATCCACAATATTTTGCGAAAAAAGAGAAGCTGCGCACCAGTCCACGCCTCTTCAAACGCCCCAGGGTTAAGCATGACGTCTCGAAACGATCGCCGTTAGGTAATACCACGTGAGATGTTCTAACGACCCTGCCCTCTTAGTTGCTGTCGAAATTTTGTCGCATTTCTACGGCTGCGTCACGTATTGCTACATAGCCAATAAATATCCCACTGAACAGCCATCCTTCGTGGAAACAGTGTAACTCCATCCGCGAACGGTCTTTTGCCAAGCGGTTGATGGTATTCCTGAACACAGAGGAAGATCCATCCAACATGCTTTGGAGCAATCGTATGACTTGCATGGCGTCGGTGCGAAAATAACGCGGTTTTTTGCCAAACATGTGAAGAAGTTTTTGATCTTCCACTGGGCAAAAGTTCATGCTTACGTGCATCCGAAAACAAGTAGGTTTCATTTATCACTAGAACGGAACACTTTTTTGTAGATCTACCACTGGGAAAATTTGGCGGTGGCGATTTCGGTACAAGAGTCTTCTCAAAATGCAACAAGAGGGCCGATCCACATTATACAATTTCCATCTATGAACTTCGACGGGCTCTTTGTACATCTTTTCCACTTGAAGTAAATAGGAAGGGAAGCACGAAAGGAGCGAAGTGGGTTATCACGACTCTGTGCGGAATGCTCCACGTTTTCATCTTCCATCCGAAACCATAAAGACGTTTGAAGGGATATGAATTTTGGAATGTGACTTCATATGGACGAAACAATATTCTGAGCAAGCTGATGGGTTCTTTATCGTATTTATGCGAACGAAACGACGTTATGTTGCAATTTCAACTAAACTAACTTGCTTCACCTGAGGTGGTGTAGTGGCAAGTGGTCCGCAACCAGGCGCGCGGTTGGGGGATCAAATCCCGGATCAACGCTCGCCTTGTAAGGCAGAAGGGTCAACCAACCCTTCTGCCCTACAAGGACAGCAACTTGGTACCAGAATCGTCTGGATGATAGGAACATTGACTCGTACATCGACTGGCTCCCGAAACCACTTGTACGGGGTTACACCGCATTGAGTAAGCCACTATATTCTGAGTGGAAGTGAAATGCGTACCCATCCCAAAAAAGATCGATCAACGCCGAAGACTTCTATTCTTTCCATCATCCTGATTTGCCATAAGTTTCCAACTCGATGGTAGTTCGCGCGCTGCACGGAGGGACCAAATGGGCGCACTGTTCCACAGCTGTTGTCAATGCCTTCTTCGTTATTGAACTTACGCATACGACCCTCTCCTGCTACCAGTTGATCACACACTATCCTACTCAGGTTCCGTCATGACGCTTGTCCCTGCTCTTTTGCTAGGATAATGGCTGTGAACTGGACCCAAAAGCGGAGCCGTAGTAAATTTGCGCTCGCGTCTGGGGTAGTGATGTGTTATGATTTAGGATGATGAGATACTCTGTTTTGATATGAGAATGCCCGGCAATGTTATGTTCAAGATGCTCCGCCACTTCACGACAAATCAAAGGGCATGCTTTGATGTGGAAAGGTGACGTTTTCTCGTTTTAATGCTAATCGATTGTCCGCAAATTATCGTCCATTTCTTGTAGTGAATAAGGGAACAACCTTTGTTCTACTATTTTCGTATGAAAGTTGTCATGTGAAAAAAAAACAAGTTTGTGCTTTGTGCTTCGATGGAGACCTACTCTCCACCGAGGTTTATCCGTTTTACGCTCTGACGCGGTAAATTAACGTCATTCTGTCTACCTGAGACAGTGACAGAGAGTTGCCGACTGTGAACACAGTGACAGAGTGTTGCCGACTGTGAACGACTAGCACCGCTCAGTAAAGTGCACATAATAACGTTGGTCAAGGAGTGCCTAGGCTGCAACATCTTTGAATGGGCAGGAACATACTTTTCACAAGTAAGAGGCCTGCCCATGGGTCAACGACTAGCACCGGTTCTTGCTGTTTGCTTCATGGGCAGGATTGAAGAACCAGTGCTGCTACGTCACCCGATAATGTACTGCAGATACATCGATGACTGTTTCATCATACCATCAACACAGTCCGAAGTGGACGAGTGCTTCCGGATAATGAATGCAGTCGCAGTACATTAAGACCCACACGAGAAACACCACATGACGGTTGGCTTCCTTACCTCAACGCGCAATTAAAAGTATCCAGTGGCATTGTCAGCGAGTGGTACCGTGAAGGCAGTTCAAAGAATGTCTTGCTCCACTACGTCAGCTCATCCACAAGCCGTTAAACATGCTTTTATTAACAGCATGCTGAGAACAGCAACGAGTATGTGCACAGGCGAAGCTGAACGTCAAGAATCACGTCGCCTCGCTTGTGAGATAGCTGCTATGAACGGTTATAAGAGACCACAACGCACTTCAAGACAGCGCTCTAATACGCGAGAAGGCCCGCGTCCAAACAAACTACCACTATGCTTTCCTTTTATCTCCAATACGATAAGCACCGCAATACAACGAAGCAGAGCACAGTTGCGAGATGTTGTTCAGTTGGTTAACATCCCCAGCTACAACATCAAGCAGCAACTGGTTCGAAACAGGCTGTTCGATAAACACTGCATATCTAGAGATTGTGTTATTTGTCCACACGGCAGACTCGGTGATTGCGCTAAATCGAGTGTGATCCACCTAATGGAATGTCTGACGTGTGGACGCACATATATCGGAGAGACTGGAAGGCCACTAGGTTACGAATAAACGAGCACCTAGTTGGCATGAGACGTGATAGGCTCACGACAGCGCTTGGCAGGTATAAATCTGAGGAACAAAGTCTTGACCTAGGCGTGACTTAAAGACACATGGTACGCTTACAAACATTGAGGGTGTATGTGATTATCAGCCCCCCCCCCCAGCTGTCGATGTGCCGTGGTTTCCCCACCCGAAACTGCATGGGGTTAGAGTACAGGGCCGTGGTAAAGTCTAATTCGTCCATGCTCCGCCCAAAATGCAACTTGCGGCGCAGACTCACTTTATGCTAACAGCCGTCCGCGCGGGCGTGTCGCGCGCAGCTCTCTTGGCTTTTTGCCAAGTCCTGTAACTGCGCTCTGGAATACAAGTAAAACGCAATTTCCTGATGCGGATAACATTTCAGGTGCTGCAAAATAAGAACCGCAGATTATGACGAGGGCCAGAACTCAAGAGCAGCTGTGCTGCTTCTGCAACGTCCCTCAGAAGTCACCGCATTTACGCGAAACATGAAAACAGAAAAGGCCCAAGCGTCTTACTTTCTAGTTTAAAGTATTTCTATGGCTTTGGAGCCGAATTCGCGGCCGATCGCAGGAATTTACACGCGATTTTAATTGAGTTGCGTTTCCTTAAATTTTTCATTTTTGTTTTACTTACATCTACATTCGTTGTTCTTCATTTCTAGTCCTTCGTCATCTTCACACCTTCTATTCGGACTTTGCAGATAGCAACACTCAAAGGTTATTCCCCGTATCAGGAAATTGCGTTTTGCTTGTATTAAACTAACAAGTGGAACGCTTAGGCCATTTTACTGTCATGTTCTGTGGGAATGCGCGGCCTCTGAATAATGTTGCAGAAGCAGCACAGTTGCTCTTGAGTCCTAGCCCTCTCGCTATCATCTTCGGTTCTTATTTTGCAGTACCTAAAATGTTATCCGCATCAGTAAATAGCGTTTTACTTGTATTCCAAAGCGCAATTACAGGACTTGGCAAAAAACCAAGAGAGCTGCGCGCGACACGCGCCACGCGAAACGGCTGTTAGCATAAACGGTAGGAGCATGGACGAATGCGACTTTCCCACGGCCCTGTACTCTAACCCCGTGCGGTTTCCGGCGGGGAAACCACGACACACCGAAAACTGGGGGGCTGATAGTCACATACACCCTCAATGTGTGTGAGCGTACCTTGTTTCTCTAAACTCGCATCTCAGATTACCAGGCGAGTGCTCCACGCCCCGCTTAACTGTGTAGCAACGGTGGCATGGCACATATCCCAAATTTGGTTTGCCAGCTAGATGAGCTTACATTCGGCACCGGAACTCGTGGCAGAACACGGAGTCATCCTTATAGCTGTTCAGTATACTGTTGTTGCCCTTTTAGTGCTGACCATTACTTGTTTTCTGGAACGTCAAATGGTGATTTGGTCGTGTTTGATCTCAAAGACGAAGCAACTGTGAAAATCCCGGTACTCACCAGAAGGGTGGCAGAGTGCGCGGTACCGTGTGTCAGGTAAAGCTGAAAATTCCTTGTTAATTTATTCAAACAAGCGTATTATGGTAGTGGTCACCAGTATGCTTGATGAAATAATGCTGGACATTCGGATCAAGGAAAAGTTTTCTTTTTCAGTCTTCGTGAGAACAAGCCACCACTGGTAGCACTGTGCACCGGTGAGCGGGTGTTTCCGAGACCACTACTTTCACGATCGCCGTCAGAATCGGATTCTGACGATGAAGAAACGTATCGTACTAAACGTCACGTTAGGGAACTGGACAATTCGCTACAGCTGTGGTCATTTGAACCTTGCCCATAGAAATACAATAAAACTTAACGATATTGTGCTTCACACGGTCTATCAGAAGTCGGCTTCTGTGAGACAGGGAATTTTTAAACAATACACCCCATCCTCGCGATCCTCACTCCCCACTAGAATCAGTACGACAGACCGACTACAACTCGTTTTCCTGACGATACACCAGTCATGGCGGACAGCAGCAGAGCAGAAACTTAATTTTTTCAAAATTCCCGCGACCACTGCGGTCAATGCCTACGCATTTAGAAACGCAGTTACGTCCCCGACTTTCATTCAGGAATTCCCCAGCTATGGTGCGGTCTGCTTTAAGATGCTCCCCATCATTAGTTTTTCTTAAATTCACCGACACATCACAATTAGTTTAGCAGTGCACGGTCACACGCCACCTCGACTGCGTTTATCAGCCAAATATGTGCTTCTTTTCTATAAACCAGCTACCGCAAATTTATAGTATGGGTCTAGCAATAATAGGAAGTCAGTTCCAACAAGTAATGTAGGCAGTGGGATGGGAACACTATTGGTGGGTGACAGAAGGTTATAACTTATGATTAGATCCGATGAGAGGCCATGGAATAGGGAAGTCGCCAAATGCAAAGCGCTGATCGCAGCTACAGTAAGAAGACAATGTCAATATGCGATGTGTGGTGTGAGGCTGGGGCACCCTTGCTGGCACACAAAGAGTGATCATAGCTGTTAGGAACTGATAACGAGTATCAGCGTCATCTACCCTCTTCGAGGCGCTATTGGTTTCACACCGCCATGCTGACCCGGTGAAGCCGGCCCGGCACACAAGAAGGACGAGCACTCCGCGTAGCTGGGCGACCCGACTGGTTTCCTATAAATATCGAGTATCGAGCGGTAACAATAAATGTGAGGTAATGGTACTCTTACCGCGCGCGCGGTACGGAGGCCGCTGGTACCAGATTCGTGTGGAAGGATGGGAAAATTGACTTGAACATCGACTACTCTTTGTAGTTCATATCGCGAATTTCTTCCCAACATGGTGTAGGATGGGTAATTTGTGGGATATTTTCATTTGAGACGACTGTCACATGTCATATCTCGGACAAAGACATACTGGATCACTTGAGTGCTCCCACTTGCACTTGGAAAAGTACATACTGTACTGTTTTTTGCTCCATCTGCAGTTTTTAAGGTACACGCTGCTTGCATCTCGAACTAGCAGCCGTAAGTTGTGGGATTGCCATCCTCATCTCCGGTATTAGGGATGTAAATCAGACCAATATCGATGCAGGTTAGATCAAGGAACGGGCATACTGAAGCGGATAAGGAGTTTTTAAACACGCACAATGCCAAATGGCAGAGGACTTCGTCAATAAAGTGCATGTCGCTACCCCCTAATTCCTGAAATTAAAGATCAGTACATATGAACTCGTCCGCTGACTCGCGGATCCTTCCTCACGAACGCCTCCTAAACGTTTCCGGTTATTTTCAGAGTAGCTGCAGTGCCGAGAATGGTGAAATCACTTGGATAGGGAGTAGTTGAAGACACAATTGTGATAAGGATGTTATCGTGCCCCATAAAGTGAGACCCATTTTCATATTCATTCGAATGCCAGCCGGCCTTTCATGATAGAATTAGTGATGGTGAGTTCACTAGAATCTTGAATCAACGGAACAAAGCCTACAGCACTTCCAAATATCCGTGCCTTTTACTGCAGCCGATGTTATGTGTTTTTGGATCAATAAGCTTCGTGAGTTTGTGTGTTTCTCCAAGGGAAGAAAGAAGTGTTGGGCGTATGCCAATTTCGGTAGCTACGTTGATTCGCTTCATATACCTCTGAGCATGTTCGAATCGCTTTTACTCGCCTGTGCCAATTTTTCAGAGAAACCAGTTCCAAAGATATGAGCCACCCGCGACGTCCACATCAGGATCAGCTTCAAAGTCGAAGGAGCAAGGAAAGATGGTAGCAAGTCGCGACAAAGTTGCACGAGTAGGAAGTGTCGAGAAGGTGGCGGACCCCTCACGCGCCAAGAAAATCAATGAGGACAAGACTGGTGCAAAAGTCGACACGGATAAGAGAAATGGTTCCACACAGGCGAGAAATAAGAAATCTATAATGACGGCGGACGGGAAAGTGGTTGGGTCACCTATGATGAAAGAGCCTGGCAAGATTGAAAAGCCAGGGCCGAATAAAAGCAAGGAGAAGGAACAGAACAAAATTATGGAGAAGCCGATAAAGAATTCAGGTGAAGAACATCAAGCGGGTTCACCAAGTAGGTTTTGCAGTGCTCCATGTTGCCTCTTTTTTATTAGGTTTTTGTGACAATTAGAGCTTATTTGCAAAGAGACTTCGAAGTATTTGTAAATAGCTGAAAGGAAAGCACATGTGCCGATCCGCGGAGCAGGAGAATAGGAGATTTGCCGTTTTTGAAAAATGCATTGAAATTGTTGGATACGTGCAGGTCACATCATCCACATGAATGAAATTGCAGTGTCACGCTGCGCTCATACCGTGCGACGTAATCGTCAAGTCGACGTAACCGACGTTTTCGACGAAAGTGACGAAAGCTGCGTAACCGACGAAACCGACGACTACTTCGCAAACATTAGATACGTATCGATTATCGAAATCGACGAAACTTACGATTCCGGCGACTGGGCCAATAATAAGCTTTTTGTAAATGCTTTTCCCCCATAACTATTATCACATCACTTTTATTTCCTTTTCGTTTGTTAACATTTTCCCTATTTCCTTCAATCCTCTTAAAGACACATAGTACGCTCACACACATTGAGGGTGTATGAGACTATCAGCCCCTCAGCTGACGATGTGGTCCCCCGCCCAAACATGCCCAGGAATGGGAGCCCGATACAGGACCGTGAAAACACGCTATATTCTTCATGCTCCGCCTTACAGCTTTTTGCGGGCAGCAATTCCCGTCCTTCATAACATCCGTCGCAAGCGCGCGTGTCGCGTGCGGCTCCTTGGCACTTTGCCAAGTCCTTTAATTGCGCTTTCAAATACAAGTAAAACGCAATTTCCTGATGCCGATAACATTGGAGGTGCTGCAATATAAGAACAGAAGATGATGACGAGGGTCAGAACTCAAAAGCAACAACTGTGCCACTTCTGCAACATCCCTCGCAGGCCGGTCCATAGTACAAAATGAAAAATAAAAACGGCATTACTCGTTAGTTTAATACGAGCAAAACGCAATTTCCTGATGCGAATAAAATTTGAGGTGGACCCCATGCTTCAAAAACCATGTATAAGGAGATGAAGATGACACAGGTTAGAAATGAAGCACAACGATGTAAATGTAAATAAAACAAAAATGAAAAAAAATCAAGGAAAGGCAAATTAGTAAGAATCGCCTGTAAATTTCTACGATCCGGCGCGAATCCAGCGCCAAAGCCATAGAAATACTTAGAACAAACGAGTGGGACGCTTGGGCTGTTTTTATTCTCATGTTTTGTGGGAATGCGCGGCCTCTGATGGATACTGCAGATGCAGCTGAGTTGCTCGTGAGTTCTGGCCCTCGCAATCATCTTCTGTTCTTATTTTGTAGCGCCTCCAATGTTATCCGCATCAGGAAATTGCGTTTTAGTCGTATTTGAAAGCGCAATTAAAGGACTTGGCAAAGTGCCAAGGAGCCGCACGCGACGCGCGCGCTTACGACGGATGTCACGAAGGACGGGAATCTGCGCCGCAAAAAAGTATAAGGCGGAGCATGAAGGAATTAGCTGTTTTTAGCAAGTTGTCCTTTACCTCCATTCCTGGGCATGTTTGGGCTGGGGGACCACGACACATCGACAGCTGGGGGGCTGATAGTCTCATACACCCTCAATGTGTCTGAACGTACCATGTGTCTTTAAGTGACCTTACAACCTACCTTCTTCACAGTTTTCGAGAGAAATACCATGACAATTGACACGTGGCTCACGTGGAATCGATGTGGTTCCCGGTATAGTATATAGTACTATAGTATATAGTAATAGTCTATAGCATGTAGTAATCGAGAAAATCATCAATGAAAAATTTTTTGGGAAATTTCGCAGTTGAAGCAAGATAAGGAGGGAGCCCAGTAATTGGGAGTGGGGACGTCCTGGAGGTGGTAACATTCGAGCTCTCCGTGCGACACACGCTTTGAAGTGTACAATAATGTCAAGTTCTCATTTTCAGTGCCACCCATGACTCTGCAGTTATGCCTCTTCCGCGTGTTAAGGGCTCATGCGCACTAACTCAATTTTACCCATTCTGATGTCGCAACTGCGGTCTCTAATGATATGGTGCAGCCTCACGGTTAAAAGTCTGTAGTACGCAAGAGTGACCAGGTATTTGTAGATAATGACTGATACTGGGCTTTTTCAACTCATTTGCAATGCACACGTGTTGCCAGTTGGGCATTGCCATATCACTCGATCCGTATCTAATGTTCTGGATTGCCACCGGATCCTGCCGACGCACCCTTTTATGACTAACTGATTGATAGGTGTAAGCCATAGGCAATATTAAGACATGTGATTGTGACCCGTAATTAAATGGTTAGATACTCGATGCGTGGCCTGTCCTGCATTGAGAGGCACACCTAGATAGAGTCAGCATTCTACCACCGACCGTACAACTGAGCAGTCGACTCCAACGACTGCCAAAATATCTACCAACACATCTAATCTCGCGAAGTAGTCGGTGTCGTCGCTTACGCAGCTTTCGTCGGTAACGCAGCTGTCGTCGGAAACGTCGCTCGTCGTCGAATCGATAGGTATCTGTAGTGTAGTTCGCTGCGGACGGTTGGGCGTGTCAGTGCGGCTGCGTTTGGCGCGGTGCCAAACTCGTTCTCCATCAGCTGTTGAAGCGGGCAAGCGAAAATACTGTATCATATCCTTCGTATAATTCGTTTTCTACCACTTTTTGTCGCATGAGCGTTTCAACAAGAAGGCAGAGAATGGCTTCGACAGTGAGAACACTACTGCCTGACACGCCCAACCCACTGCAGTGAACTAAAGTGTAATCTTCGCGGAGTAGTCGTCGGTT